AGCATTCTCATTTTGCTTCCTCTGCACCTGGCTGGCAACTCTTCACTCTACCCTTCCTCTTCCCAGAATTCTCCTAGTCTGGTTGCCCTGCCTATACTTCCTGCCTGGCTTCTGACCAATCAGTGTTTTATTAAACCAATTGAGTGACAAATTACAGTGGACAAGAGCATTATCCCAACAGCAACATATTCTTGGATTAATTGAAAAGCTGTACCAGGTATGACCGGCCTGTGGTTTGTGAACCACTTGCATCCCAGCAGAGCTGTAAATACAGCCCCACACATTTTCAGACGACAAGACCACGTCACAGTGTCAAAAGGTGGAACAGCATTGTATGAAGAAGAAAAAAAAATAGAGGATAGAGTTTAAATATCCAGAAGTGGAGACGATTTTGTGATACATTGCTCAATATTTCCTTAAAAACTTAAGAATAAATTTTCTAGCCAAACCGCATCATAAACTATTTGGAAATTGCTGGACTTTGGGGAGAGAATGGTTTTAACAAAATACTTTCACCTATTAGCTAACTCAGATCAGCTGGAAGTGCCTTTTTTAGTGAATGCAATTTTAGATGTTAATAAGACGGCATGCCAAAATTTGAGTAAATGTATGCAGGCTTCAGCTAGTAATGGCTGCTGGTTAAGAGGGCAAGAGCAAATGCTTACTTTTGGCGTATTTTGTGAGATAGCGATAAAAAAAAATGGTTCCTCATATTTCTTTTGTGCTTTACAGTGCTTAGTACAGTTCAGCAAGAAAAGCATTTGTGGAATTTTTAAGACTAATATTGAATGATCCCAAATGGTACTTTGCTGTGCTCATGATGAACTCTAAAATCCCATCTATCTCCAAAAGTTTATGATTATGTAATAGTCAATTATCCTAATGCTATTTAATGAGGTATAAATTACAAAATAAAATCTTTATTAAATAAAACTGTTGTGCTTACTTATGAATCTCAAAAAATCTGACTTTTCTGCTCATGTTCAATAGTGATTTTTCTTAACTTTTATTTAGGTGTATGGGTGTGCCTCTGTGTGTGTGTGTGTGTGTGTGTGTGTGACATGTGTACATATGTCTGCAGATGCTATTTGGGGGTGTCAGATCGAGAAGCTACAGTCATAGCAATTTTTTTGCCGAAAGCTACATAGGTTGTGGGAATGGAACTCAGGACTTCCAGAAGAGCAAAAAGTACTCACAACCATAGAAGCATCTCTCCAGCTTCTCAAACATAGTTTTACAAAATTCTTTGTAGTCTACTAAAACTTAATTTTTTAAAGATTTGTTTCTTTTTACGTGCCTGTGTGTCTGAGTGAGTTCACGTGCATCATGTGAAGGAAGATGCCCATAGAGGCCAAAAGAAGGCATTAAATCCCCAGAAATGAGAGCTGTATAGGTTATGAGCTGCCTGAAGTGGGTGCTGGGAATCAACGTAGGTCCTTTTTAAGAACAGGATATGCTCTTACAGAGCCATCTTTCCAGCCCCTTCAGCTGATATTTAAACCTATTTTTCTTAAACTATGGCTTGCAAATTTAAAAGAATTCTGAAATGAAATACTTTAGAATTTGGAATTTAGAAATTCCAAATATGTCATATTTTAGAATTATGCCCATTATTTCTAAAATTTCTTTGTAAATTCCCAAATGTGATGTAAGAACATTAGTATGACTGGAACAGTCTGAATTTAATTTCTTATAGCAAAAAAGTTTTACATCTCCTGTCTCAAAGGGTTAATATCTAATACCTCATTTGAATTTTAGTGTAATTCTAACTGTTTTAAATTTAGAAGCATTAATTTAAAAGATGTGTTATCACCTACAAATGATTAAAAATAAAATAATCATGCCATTTCTTTTTATAGGGTAATATTAGGCAGAAGGACTATAAAGGCTGGAGGACTTGAATGTTTTCTGTAAGATAGCATCTTCTAGACAGGGAGCTGCCCTCATGATATCTCAAGAACATGGTTACCAATACAATACCTGCATAGACGCATCAGAACCAATTAACATGCCAATGTGACTAGAATTTCACAAGATCCCACCCCTGGAAAAAGAGGTCCCCATCAACCAATGGCTATTGGGAAAGGAAGAATCTACTTTCTCCAAGGATGAGTCCCTGATGAATTATTCAATCACATGGTCAGCCATAAATATATGTACATAAGAGCAACACTAAATGAACTCAGAATGGTGTGTGTGTGTGTGTATGTTTGTGTGCATTTGTGTGTGTGTAATCATAATAATTAAGAAATAAAGGTAATGTATTTGAGAGAGAGTGGAGGAACACAGAAGGACCTGGAGAGTTTTTTTAAGGGGCAGAAATGATATGAATACTGCACTCATGTATTAAATTATCAAAAAATGTAAATTTAAAAATGACAAAAAAGAATAATATTATGAAGGAAATCAAAAAACAGATGAAGTAAATGAGGTTCTGATAAGCAGGGTTCTAAAATATTAAATAAGACTGTTTATTCTAAGGTTAAAACCTTTTTAAAATCTCGGGTAAGGTTTATTCAGAAGTGACAAAGTTTGTAACTTCTAATGATAAAAATAACTCGATCACTGTTGATTAACTTACAAAAACTAAGCTTCTCCTGTCTTTGGCTTGCAAGCACGGTGATAACATTCTGTTCCTATTGCGGGTTGGTGTTTAGGCCTAGTGAGTTCTAGAAACGCTGCTGTGAATACTTGATGTTCTCTAGACTCCCCTAAGGTAGACATGAACCCCTTACCCAACTCAAGCTTGGTCATGGAGATTTTCCACACAAGACTTTCCTGCTACCATGACCTCAACAGAAAGCAGCTCCAGTTGAGATGTTACTTTTATGTAGTACAAGGGCCAACTACTACAGGATCATGGAATTTTAGGAACGTTAAATGCTGTCTTACTTTGTACTGCTGTACAAAAATGCAAAAGCATAATGCAGTTGTAAACATGAAAGGCAGTAGTGGATGGTGCCCAGGTCTCTGGTCTCCTACGACAGGGCGGAACATGCCACCTGGTGAAAGAAGACAACTCCAAGCAGAGTGCTTAGGAAAGGGCAGATCAGGTGACCAGAACTGTGACAGTCTAAACTTAGAATGAATATGCCCTAGGCATAGAGTGGTAAGAAAAGCAAGTCTCCTAGAAGGAACGAAATGTTCACACAGCAACGATGCTGTTGAGATAGGGTATAGAGATCCTAGGATGCATTGCCTGTGCATGTGCAAATGACAATGTAATTTCCTTCCCAGAGCAGTTACAGGGAAAGAAATCCTTTTTTTCAATTGAGAAAGAATCTATTTTCTCCGTATGCATTATTTGTTGTCCCAGTGATATATAGCTAATAAATGTGGTTATAAATATTTAAGCTATTAATGGCTGTGTTACACATTATAAATAGCTCTATGAGCTCACCAGGCATTGTAAGTGATACACTCGGCTTCCCCAAGGAACCATGGATAAAGTCACAGCCACATTATGTGCATTCACCAGTGACAGATGAGTACTATGTCAGTAAACAGATACTACACTGGTTTTATTTCAGTCAGCAAAATTGGTGGCAAAGAGGCTGTTATATAAACTGACTTCATCTAACAGATAGCACGCTATGACTAAGGAAAAGTTTAATTCTTGTAGAATTAATTTTGTACCATAGTATCGAGTTCGATTTTTAAAAGGTCTGCGAGGAATGTGAAACAATGCATTGATGGCATTGGTTATTTAAGAACCCTGTAGGCATCATTTTGAGTTTTGCGGCTACCCATTTCCATCCTTTTCTGGCCTTATTTTTCCCTGGTTATACGTATAATTAAGCTATAAGGCAAAGTTAATAAATCATCTCAACAGGACACTAGAGGTACAGAAGTAAAGGCAAGCCAGTTTCAGAGACAACCATGTTAGATTGCTTAATTAATTTCTATGACTTGTGTTATACACAGCCTATTAATCTATCTAAGGATCACTTTTCTGGCTTGAAAGAAATAGGAAAACGAGGTCTAGAGAGACAGCTCAGCAGTTAAGAGCTCTGACTGCTCATCTAGAGGACCCAAGTTCAATTCTCAGCACCCACATGGTGACTTATAACCATCTATAACTCTAGTCCTGGGAGATCTGATGCCCTCTTATGGCTTCAGTAGGCACTGGTCACGCACATGGTACACAGACCTACATGCAGGCCAAAGACTCATACCTATAAAATAAAATAAAATTAAAATTAAAAAAAACTGAAATATAAAAACAAGCTAAAAGTTGCTTTTATTAAATGCACGCACGTAGAGAGCTGTTCAGTGCGCACTACTAAGGCATTGTAATGGCTGAACTGCAGGCTGGTGATGATATCTATCTTCTAACAGAGGTAGATGCATGTGAGAAGCATGGATTAAATTCACCATTCACCCTTCACCTACTGAGCTCTCATCAATCTGTTGGCTCTCCACTCACGGGCATGTCTGTAATTGTTATGGCAACCTTGAAATGCAAGCATTATTTCTCCATTTTATAAGCAACTGACTCTAAAGCTCAGAAGTGGTGTGCTCAAAGTCACACGAATATTAAATGGCAAAGCCAGAAGCTGGCTCCAGCCCAGTTCTGCAAAACTCCAGAACCTGCAAGGACAGCAGAGAGATGAGGGCAAAAGACCTGATGCAGTCTCCTCACCACCCCCAACACACACACACACCCGCACCACGCTCCCTAATTCACTCACTTTCCCAAGGCAAGTTACTGGAATGTGTTGAAACTCAGTGTTCTGTCTCTAAGTTTACCCTAGATGATCTTCAGAAACCCAGAAGAAAAATTTCCCAGAATGAATGAGGATTCTGGGATCTGTATATTTTCTAAAATGCGGTTTGTTTTCGCAAAGTCAGCTACCTAATTGAATCCTTTGCTGTTCTCTGATTATCCTCAGGCAAGGACTGATGTTAACACAGAGGAAGAATGTCCTTAAGTCTACAGAGGCAAAAGAAAGTGTTGAGGCTACCAGTGCTCTAGATTTTTCTCTCACATTTGTTCATTATACATCTTAAAATTTCCCACAAAAATAAAGAAAGCGTCAGATTAGAAAGGTGCAAAAATAAATCTCTTTTGCAACCCAGAACTCATGGTTCAGTATGAATTCTGATACATACAAGAAGGAATATAGGACAGTACAAAGGGATTATGGCATTGATGAGGTTGATTCTAACTATCCTATAATTTAAAGGCATGGGTAATAATAAAAAATCCTGATGTGATGAACATTTCTAAAAAAAAAAGAAAGAAATTGCATGCTGTAGCAAAGAAAAAGTGTGTTTTCATGTAGTTAGAGGATAGGATTCAGGCATTTTTAGGAATACTTTTAAATGTTTTTAATAATGATAAATCACTTTCCAGTTAGCATTTGTTGATTTCTATATTAAATGTGGACAAATAGAATTGATTTAATACCCCAATCCTACATAGTGTCAACTGGGATTTTAAATAAATGGGAAGGAGTTTATATTTCTTATTGTCATTTTTCTGTGCATCTGGGCTCAGAGTAGATATACCTGGACTGTGTCAAGTCATTTCCACAATCACTTGGAAATGACCTCTATCCTACATAAATTTTTTTATATATTACCCAAATCACATATAACAAAAAGTTCTCCACATATTCTTACTAAAGCCATTTGTTGTGTTTTATGAATTAATTGTAGTTCTTGCCTTCAGAAATACTCTGAAAGAGAACAACAGTAATTTGGGGAATTAAACCATGTTTAGAATTGAGGACAGCCAAGGACACTCCACCATATACAATTATATGAGTGGGCTTACTGCATAAATCTGAGTTAGAAAGTTGAAATGGGATCTTTTTTCTTGTTTTTAACTAAGGGTAAAATTTATAATGGGTGATAATTAAAATATTTAATGAATAAATTATACTTCCCTGATGCCTGCTATATCTTCTAACATAAAATTTTAACTTATTGTGTTATATGCTAACTTTCACATTAAGTAAATTAGTTGACTCTATCTGAACTGGAAGAAGATGTTGCATAATAATGCATTGTGTTGATTGATTGTGATGTTTAAGTGTGCTTAGCACTTATTTTGCACTTTATATCCTCAAAGCACTTCACAAACATTAGCTAATTAATCATCATGTCACGGCAATGTCAGAAAGGTGGTTGGATTCCCATTTCTGAGATGAAGGAATTAAATAAAGTGGCTTATGACAACGAAAGGCCTTTGGAAGTTTAAGTATGAATACATCGGGCAAGTTCTCCCTAAGTGGTTATAGCAGGGAGTCTAATTGTGTATTCCTCACAGAAGGAACGCATGGGACTCAATGGCTTACCGTAGGATGGCCACTCTTCCAGTGTCCAATAATTCTAGTAAGCTTTGTTATTCTCAAACAACTCCCATGAGAGTTAACATTACCGAATATTTTACATTTTGAAAACATAAAGCTTTAGTAACTAGAAATTCTGTGAATTTTCTTTCAAATTTCATATTTTTTTAATTTTATAATTAATTTTACATATCAGCCACAGAATCCCCTGTCCTCCCTCCTCCCACCCAAACCCGCCCTCCCCCGAATCCACCCGCCATTCCCACCTCCTCCAAGGCAAGAACTCGCCTGGGGATTCAGCTCAGCCTGGTAGATTCAGTTGAGGCAGGTCCAGTCCACTCCTCCCTTCACCTAGGCTGAGCAAAGGGTCCCAGTATAGACCCTAGGTTCCAAAAAGCCAGCTCATGCACTAAGGACAGGTCCTGGTCCTACTGCCTGGGGGTCTCCTAAATAGTTCAAGCTAATCAACTGTCTCACTTATCCAGAGGGCCTGATCCAGTTCCATGGGGGCTCCTCAGCTATTGGTTCATAGTTCATGTGTTTCCACTAGTTTGGCTATTTGTCCCTGTGCTTTTTCCAATCATGGTCTCAATATCTCTTGCTCATATAATCCCTCCTCTCTCTTGCCAAGTGGACTCCTGGAGCTCCACCTGGGGCTTGGTCATGGATCTCTGTATCTGCTTCCATCAGTCACTGGATGAGAGTTCTATCATGACAGCTAGGGTGTTCGGCCATCCAATCACCAGAGTAGGTCAGCTCAGGCTTTCTCTCAACGATTGCCAGTAGTCTATTGTGGGGGTATCTTTGTGGATTTCTGGGGACCTCTCTATCACTTTGCCTCTTCCTATTCCCATGGAGTCTTCATTTATCATGGTCTCTCTTTCCTTGTTCTCCCTCTCTGTTCTTGATCCAGCTGGTACCTTCCGCTCCCCTAAGCTCTCTTTGGCCAGACCCTTGCCCTTTATTACCCCCACTCATGTCCAGTTTGCTCATGTAGATCTCATCCTTTTCTCTGTCATTGGGTGATCCCTGTGTCTTTCTTAGGGTCTTCTTTACTAGGTAGCCTCCCTGGAGTTGTGAGTAGCAGTCTAGTCATCCTTTGCTTTACATCTAGTATCCACCTATGAGTGAGACCATGTTTGTCTTTCTGAGTCTGGGTTACCTCACTCAGGATGATTTTTTCTAGATCCATCCATTTGCCTGCAAACCTCATGATGTCATTGTTTTTCTCTGCTGAATTACTGTACTCCACTGTGTATATGTACCACATTTTATTTATCCATTCTTCAATTGAAGGGCATCTAGGTTGTTTCTAGGTTCTGGCTATTACAAACAATGCTGCTATGAACATAGCTGAGCATGTGCCCTTGTGGTATGATTGAGCATTCCTTGGGTATATGCCCATAGCTGGATCTTGGGGGAGATTGATTCCCAATTTTCTAAGAAAGCACCATATTGATTTCCAAAGTGGTTGTACACGTTTGCATTTCCACCAACAGTGTAGGAGAGTTCCCCTTTCTCCACATCCTCTCCAGCATAAGCTGTCTTCAGTGTTTTTGATCTTAGCCATTCTGACAGATGTAAGGTGGTATCTCAGAGTCATTTTGATTTGCATTTCCCTGATGATTAGGAGTGTTGAGCAATTCCTTAAAGGTCTTTCAACCATTTGAGCTTCCTCTGTTGACAATTCTCTGTTTAGCTATATAGCCCATTTCTTAATTGGACTGTTGGGCATTTTGATATCAAATTTCTTGAGTTCTTTATACATTCTGGATATCAGCCCTCTGTCAGATGTGGGGTTGGTGAAGATCTTTTCCCATTCTGTAGGCTGTCGCTTTGTCTTGTTGACCGTGTCCTTTGTTCTACAAAAGCTTCTCAATTTCAAGTAGTCTCATTGATTGATTGCTTCTCTCAGTGTCTGTGCTACTGGTGTTATATTTAGGAAGTGATCTCCAGTGTCAATGCATTCAAGACTACTTCCTGCTTTCTCTTCTAGCAGGTTCAGAGTAACTGGATTTATGTTGAGGTCTTTGATCCACTAGGACTTAAGTTTTGTGCACGGTGACAGATATGGATCTATTTGCAGCCTTCTACATCTTCTACATGTTGACATCCAGTTATGCCAGCACCATTTGTTGAAGATGCTTTCTTTATTCCATTGTACACTTTTGACTTCTTTGTCAAAAATTATATGTTCATAGGTGTGAGGATTAATGTCAGGGTCTTCAATTCAATTCCATTGGTCCACATGTTGGTTTTTCTGCCAGTACCAAGCTGCTTTTATTACTTTTGCTCTATAGTAGAGCTTGAAGTCAGGGATCATGATGCCTCCAGAGGTTGTTTTATTGTACAGGATTCTTTTGGCTATCCTGGATTTTTTGTTTTGCCATATGAAGTTGAGTATTGCTCTTTCCAGGTCTGTAAATCTGTGAAATTTTAAAATTGATTTTTTTCAGGGATTATCAGTTAATCATGTTTGAAAACAATATTAACTACTGGCAAGGTTTTATTTATTATTCTAAAATCAACCATATTAACTAAAATATCTGGGTTATTCCACAGGCAGGTCATTCTTTTGAATATTAGTCAAAATATAACCAATAAATATTTTCTAAATTCTTAAATGAATTTCATTAGCCAAGTGTTATTATTTTAATTTTGCTAAACGTTTTTATGTTATATGATATTGCTAATCTGACAATCATAAAATTCTATACTATCAAGACTAAAACAGACAATGAAAGCATAGCATACATTGAGGAAGGGACATAAAATCAAACAGTTATTAATTTTTTACAAAGTAAACCCAAGTGATTAAGCACTAGACAATCAAGGCATTCACCATCACATGTCCCCTGTTCCTTCTCCTATGGCACTACATTCTAAATATAGTCTCTGTTGATTGCTATAACTATTAATTATTTTATCTATTTTGGGATTTTGCACGAATGTAATTATGCAACATGTACCTTTATAACATTTTTGTATTTTTTTCTCTCAGTATATTTTGCCAGAATTCTTCCTGGTATTTTGTAAAGTGGTTTATTCATTTCTGTTGCTTTACAGTATTACATAAAAGTGTGTGTGTGTGTGTGTGTGTGTGTGTGTGTGTGTGTGTGTGTGTGTACATTCCACGACTTACTGATTGATTCTACTATTCAAGAACAACTGGGTTGTCACAGTTCAAGGATACTAACTACAGTATAATTATGAACATTTTTCTGTGAAACTTTTGATGTACATAAGTACAAATTCCTATTTCAATCTAGTAGCAATAGATGGGAATGACCTCTCTCACAGATTCTTCTCAAGGTCAGGAACATGTTATTTTACATTTTTATTCTAGAAATTATTAATTTACCAGTTATATTTAATTATAAAATCAAGAGTTTTTGTATATGAGAATTGAGTTGACCCAAATATTTATATAAACAACCAACCCGACAAAATTCATTGGATATAAAATGATTTCTTCATTGTAACTACATTCATCACACTGAAGTAAGTAACCATTGTCAATAAAAAGTTGTTCCTGGCCCTGGAATGTCTACTTGTCTGTCTTTTCAATTAATATTTATTATTTATAGATAGTAATGTTAAATAAATATTAGTATAATATTAATGATCAAAATAATAACTTGTTCATTAATATTCAAACCTTATGAAATACTACAACTATACAACATATAACACATAACATACAAACTATAATGTAGCCGGGCGGTGGTGGCACATGACTTTAATCCCAGCACTCGGGAGGCAGAGGCAGGGGGGTCTCTGTGAGTTCGAGGCCAGCCTGGTCTACAAAGCAAGTTCCAGGACAGCCAGG